CGTCAGTAAATATCCGTTCAGTAATACACGATTTTCTTGTAGTACAAAAGTTATCTTCAGTTAATTACTAAAACCTATTATGCTAAATATCAAAACATTCAACATCTTACAACAAAATATTTATTAATATAATCAAAGTACAACATGATATAAAATATTTTTATCATTAGAAAATCATTAACATAACTAACATTAACAAAAATATCATTGGAAGAACTATTTTACTTAATACAACATCAAAATCTTTTTTAGTTTTTCATTCAAATAACAGAAAATAAACTCAACTTAATAAATTAAAATTTCATGTGATCAACATAAAAAATTTTCATCATTAAGTTTTTTCAGACTTGCTAGACAAAGACTTAATATATCTCTTGTAGACATGCTAGACCAAGATTTAATATATCTAGTGGAAACATGTTGATATATAATAAACAAAATAGAACATATATATATATATATATATATATATATATATATATATATATATATATATATGTATGTATGTATATTAAACTAAATAGAACAATTAAGAATAATTAACCTAGGTTAAAGCATGCAAAAAGTTATACTATAAGAAAGAAAACTCCACCAGACTTATTGAATTTATCAATAAATTCCTTTCCCAAATACATTAAATCGATAGATAATTCATATATAAAACATCTCCAAATTAATGAATATCGTTCCAAAATATTTAGTAAAAAAGATTAAAAAATATTTTGCATTATTATGATGATATTTAATTTTTTTCATGTACTAATATTTATAATCTTAACATAACTTGAAAAAGTTAAAAAAAATTATGTTAAATGTAACACTATAATATATCTTAACATAGACTTAGTCAAATATTTAAATTTTAAAACAATAATAATAATAAATATAATTTAAATTTTAAACAAATTCTACTGTAAATATGCAGAATTGCTTTTACAATAGTGTTAATTTCTTTTTCCGAATTGCAAAGTAGTCCCTAGAGCAATAAGCACCGTCTACAGTACTTATCAGTGATTTATGGCAGAACAATTAAAATCTAAAGAAAAACAACTCCATGTGCTTTTTTAAAAGTAAAAAAGTAATAATTAATTACAAAAATGATGCAACAAAACTATTTACAAAAATGGATGAGTAGTTTAGGCATCACATTAAGGCACCCTAGTCACAGCGTCTTCCATGAGAATGTATTCACATAATGGTTGGTTCCAGAAAGGAAAAATCTAAAATTAACACAAATAAGTTGAGTAATATTTCAAACTAAGACGGTGCATTTTATTTTAGTTTTCTATGTAACTGGTGTTTGATATTTTTGAGTAAAATTCATTATATCATGAGTTAATTATATAATAAAATGATATTATTTTTACTTAAAATTTTAATGAGTGGTGATATTTTGACAACCAAAAACCATACAACCCTTATAAACAACTCACTTTTATTAATATAATAATCTATAGACTGATTTAATAAAAATAAAAATAAAGTAAAACTATTATTATAATATTAAAACAGAGTTGTTTACAGGAGTTGTATGTATTTGGGTTGTCAAAGTATCATTTTCCAATTTTAATTTATTAGATTTATAAATTTCCTTGACTTAGGGTTTTTCATTTAAATAAATAAATATATATATATATATATATATATATATATAAACTAAGGATAGAAATATGAAATAAAATGAAAAACATATTTATTTAGAGAAAAATAGCATAAAAAAGAATGATAATTTTAATTTTAAAATCATTTAATTATAACATTACGCATATAATTATTAATTAATTTTTTAATGAATGAAATAAATTTTGAAATCAATACCTTTATATTAATATTATATTTTTTTATGATGTATGCTTTCATATATAATTATAAAATATTGTTTATTATAAAATTATTTTTTTAAAAAGATATTCAGTTTAAATTAATAAAATAATATCATTTAAAAAATATATAAAATATATAAAATGTATTAAATTATTCATTTAATTTTTATAATAACATTCTAGTAAAATAATAATTATACATATAAGTAAAAATAATTATTTATTTCACTTTGAAAAATAATATTTTTATTATTTTTCTTCTTCTTTTGCTCATATTTAGATAAAAGGTAAAATATGCATTTTATAGTAAAAGGCCACATAGCTTTCTTTATTATTTTCCTTTTTAATAAATAAGAATTGTGTTTTTCTTTTACTCAATTTTCACCACTCTCACTTGATTCCAACTAGTCATTTTCCACTACTCTCACTTGATTTCCACAAGCGGATTGATATATTAATTATTAGATAGTGAAGATGAAACATCACTCTATAAGAAAGAAAAAACTTTTTCATCTTTAAAGTTTTTTGTATAGGGGATTAATTATCTTTGTTGGAAGGTGTAGTAACGCCTTGGATTTATCATGAATTAATGTGTTACACATGAGGAATTGCTTTAGATCAAAGTTTAGAGAAGACAAAAGATGTGTGCATAGGGGAGGTTGGGAGGGGTCAGTTTTGTGGCTTTATTTAATGGGTAGTTTATGAGTGAATTGTAATAAATGTATCTCATAATTTCGCTAATTCATTAGCACAGCTAAGAGATAAAATATTTTGCTAACGTTAGGGTCTTCTCTTACTATCAATAATGATATGTGACTCATGCATTCAAGACAAAGCAAACGCATTGTTTCTCCTGAATCTCAAATTTTCCAAGCCTCTAATTCTTTGTTATTAGGTGGGAACAGTTAGTTTTGTTATCACCGCAGCAAAAAAGAAAGCAAATCACATGCATTATGATGCAACACCATAAATAATTACACCCTAGAACATAGGTGCACGGGTTTCAATCACTCCTAATCTTGGTGATGTCTTCTCAAGTTAGTCCTCATCAAATTATAGCAAACAAATGAGGTTGATCTAACAAAATCGTTACCACTTCGCTTATTTGTTCTTCATAAAGGATGTCGTTACTCATTTATAAATGATGATGTGTGATGAGTTTTGTCTGAATAATGCCACTTGAACAATTAAGTTCTAAACAATTATTGAAAAACCTCATAAATAAATTACAACTCAGAAATGAAGTACGAACAATAATGTCGGTGATCGTACTATTAAGGGTGTGAATAAAAGGTCAAAATCAAATATGAGTTCCTTCATAGTTTTAAATGGACAATGCGTAGTTGGTTGGGTGATGAAATAAAAAAAAATACCAAATAACTTGTGAAATTGTGGTAATTAGTGACACTTTGTCCTATGTTATTATATATGCAAAGTAAAAGTAAGCGATAAACATTGAGATACAGTAATTCATTAATGAAGTGGAATAAATTATTCATTTTAATAGAAGGTGTGATAAAAAAAATATTCTTACTTTAAGTAAAACGAAAAAAATCCTACTCCATATAAACGAATGTATTAAAAAATTATATTGAAATAATTTTATAAAATGAAATTAAATATGCCTCAGAAATTTGAACTGATCTGAATATGCCATTTATGAAGCCTAAACCTAAAAGCCGTGTCCCATTGAAAGTTTCTCTACTGGAATTATCATTAGTGGATGATAGAATCAAACGGTGAGAAGATATATATACAAAAGTTGCCAAACATGAAGCATTAATGGACCCCACTCTATGCATGGTTGGTGTAACCGAAGTTGATGTTTCAAGCCACTGACAAATGGATCTTTCGTTTCACAAACATGAATTGAACTCTGACATAGGATCCAACAGATTATACTTTAATGTCACGCTTTCACAAAAATGATAAAGATCAGATTCCACACATTCACACGTGGCTTGTCTAAGTTAAAGAGTTTAACCTTCTAATTAATTGTTAATTTTGATTAACCTTTGGTGTATGTTTCTCCCATAACTTAGTTGGTTGGGGTCAATGGTTCTCTAATTTCTACGGTCCATTATTAGCCATGTGTATAGAATGTGGATAGGCTACGCCAAACCTAAGAATCATTATTATCAACAAAACGTGGACCATTCAAACAGCGAAGTTCGTGTATAATTGAGATATATAGCAATGTGAAAGCATTGTATGGCGCTGATGGAGGTGGTGGATGATCCGTTGCATTCATTATAATTAATGGTATGAATACATCTCAACAATTCAACGTTCATTTTCTTTAGCACCATATACCATTAACTTTATTCATGGAAGATCTACCGTTAACTATTCATTTTTACATCTCAGACAAATCACATGGAAAATTATTATCGACTTTAATTATAATAGACATTATAAATAAAATGTTTTTAAAAATAAACATTAATAACGTATATTTCATGTTGACTACTCATAAGACAAAGAATTAAGTAATCGTGAAAAATTTCATTACTTTTATAATTAATTAAAAATACCCTATAATTAATAGAGATTCATAGTATTTTCTAAAATTCTAATAAATAAATATTTTTAATGTGATTAGTAAAATTAAATAATATTAATTAATTTTCAATTTTATATTTTATTATGAATGAAGTAGAAATCTCGTTGACTGGAACTTTTGATCGTAGGTTAAATTTTCTTGAAATCTATGAAGGAGAAGAATTAATAAATATAAGTGAAACTCATAAAAAATATTATAATTTCTAATAATTTTAACTAATAGATAATTAAATTTAACATATTAAAGAATATATTATTAACCTTTCTCTAATTGGTAATTAAGTGAGAGTGAAAATTTTAAATCTATTAGCGGATCTGAAAATGTAACTTACAAATATAACTAAGGGGTAAAATAGACAATCACATATACGAGAGAAACGGGTTATTTAAAAATTTGACAGAATTACAAGAAAGATGGATATTATTGAACAAATTGTGGTGACATAGAAAGAACAGAACATAGTTTGAAACACTAGTTACCAAGTACAACTACAGAATTCTCAGCGCTGTACCTTAAGAAAATCTTGTAACGACACCATCAACACTGTCTTTAGAATGATCTGAATGATATACCTACAAATCGTGATTGTTATTATTACCTTTTTCGCAAGCGAATCACCGAAATGCAAGCGTGCAAAGCAAGCCAACAAAAAGTGGCAACAACACGGCGGCGAAGCTCCGGCGGTGGGTGGAGGCGGCGCTGAAATCCTCATCGATGGGATACAAGTTCCCTGGAGGGCCAGTTATGTATATGTAGGAGGAAGGTGGTGGCGGGGGGCAATACTGCGTGGGTGTTTTCTTCGGCGGTGGTGGCGACGGTGGTGGAATCGCCGGTGGCGGAGGGGAGGAGTAGACGGTGCCGCATGAACCGCACTTTTCGTCGGTGCTGTTTGTGGCGGGCACGGAGGTCTCATCAAGTTTCCTAGATTCAACGCCATTGACTGTAGAAACGAGAAAAATAAGGACCAAATTGATGAGGAGGAAAATTGGTACCTTAATTTGATGCCCTTTGATCAACATGGTGGATTTCACTTCGGAGATTTTATGTTTGTGTGGTAGTGGTTTATGTGTGAGTGTGAATATGAGATTATGGGTTGGGAGAAGAGAGATTTAGAAGTGGAGGAGAAGGTGAAGGATTTCTTACGTTAGGTGCATGGGAACTCTAAACACTAAATTGAAAAATTGACCATTTTGGAATTAGGGTGAGTAGTTTTTTCTAAAATCAAATTTGAGTGAGTGAGTGTGTTGAGGATTTTTTATCTTTTTTTTTTTTTTCTCTTGTGGACACTTCTTGATTGCTTTCTCGGTCATATAAGTAACTTATGGAATAAGGGAACCTCAATAGCATGTGGCTTATGCACACTTTGGGGTCCACCATGTATCATATTATGTATTTTTATAATACTTTTAAGTAATATTTATAATAATCTGTAAAAAAAAAGAGTTATTTATAATAAATTTAATTTCTTTTAAATACAATTTTTCTATCTATAACATGGATGTAGACCACTTTGGATTGTTAATTTTGGCACATAATTCGAGTATAGTCCTGTGGATACTGTAATGGCCCGTTGCAACACTTTTGAGGTCAAATCAAAGCTCATCTCATCTACGAGAATTCCATATCATAATCCAATTCGTAAGGATGCTTTTGTTGAATTTTATGCAGCTTAAAGTTCAAAGCAACATTTTTAGCAGCATAAGTGTCATCACCAGAAGTTAGGCGTATGCGTGAGGAAAACATATCTTGCAAGGAGGATAAGTCATTCCTTTTATTGGTGAAAAGTGAAAACAACTTTATATTTTTATGAATTTTTAATTTGTAAACTTTTATGTGGTGATTGAAAGAAGTATTTTATAATTTTTAAAAAATTTAAATATATTAAATTTAATTTCTTTATTTAAAATAATTTGTTTAGATAAGATTATTATTATTTATTAAATTTAATTTTTTTATTTAAATAGAATATTTTAATTATTATTAAATATAAAAGTTATTAAAAATACTATTATTATAAAATGAATTAGAAGTCAGGTGAGATTAAGTCGAATCTTATTAAAAAAATGTTGAATTAAGTTAAGACAAATTAGATTAGGATGTGTTGAATAAAATTGGGATAGGTTAAGTTAGACCAATATAAATTAAAGGAATTGAGAGCAATCGAGTTAGAGTAATTAATTAAATGATGATCAAAATATATCGGATTGATTCAATCAAGTCAAGACAGGTTAGTTCAACCTAGGTCATGTTAATTTGGGTTGAGTTGGATTAGCTTGTGTTGAGATAAGTCAAGATTAATAAAAATTATTTCAATAAAAATGGAGTGAAAGAGAAAATATAAAAAGAAATACGGGTATTAAAATAGGCATAGGCCCATGGACCAGTATGAAAGATCTGAGAAACATATCAAGTTAAGTCCAAAAATTTGTGACTTAAATTGAATCGGACCTATTTTAACCTGACCTATTTAGGTCATGACTTATATGAGCTTAAATTAAGTTAGTCCATAAGTTTATAGGCTGACCCATTTTATAAAAATATTATTATTTTTTAGATAAAAATAAAAATAATTTTATTTTATTAAAAATATATACGCATTATAAATTAATTTGACTAAAGATTTACTTATTCTAAGAATAATATATCAGACTAAATCTCCAATAACCATTTATTCGAAAATCTAATGATTAAGATTAATTATTATTTTAAATTAATAAATTACTAAAAATAAATAATGATAATAAAGAATAAATTTTAATTCTTATTTTGATATTGAATAGATACATTATCTTATAATTTATATATTAAATCATTATATCTTAAATAAAAATTAATTTTATTAATAAAATTTAAATTTTCAAAATATATTTTTATTTAAATTTTTTTAATTAATTAATTTTGTATAAATATGTTAATATTTTTTTAAAATAATTTCAATTAAACCAAAATTGACTCGTTAGCTCATTGGTCTAACATAGGGTCAAACATACTAGACTAAAATTTTTTTGTCTATTTTAAAATATAAATCAGGATAAACCATCAAATCTTTTCTTTTACTTGACAGGCCAGAGCTAGAAGATCCATTTTGATAGCTCTAAAAACAAAGACATAAATTTAATAAAAAAATTGAAACTATTATCTTTTAGATAAATTTTAAAATTTTATTTTTTAAAATAATTAAAATACTTTTATTAATATTTAAATTATTTTTTAAATTCTTTATCAAAAGAACTAATTTTATTATAATACATTAAAATGAATTACCACTATAAATTTATCTATCCACACGAGATTATTGTTTCACACCATCAAACCTTATTATGATAGTTTACTAAAAGCAACGCCGATTGTAAGAAGTTGTTGGATTAAACTATATATATGAAATATTTAAAACCAAGTTCAACGTTATGACACGTTGGCACCACAATACATAAATAAGAGAAAAATAAAAAGGTAGGTACTTACTGGGGATGAGTTGTTAGCATTCAGTAACACATTGCATGTGTATTCATTCTACTAAAAGAATTGACGCGTATGACTAATAATATTACAATATTGAAAAAATTAACAATTGTTTTGACATGCCTTTGTTTCCGTAGGACTTATTCCTTCCCATTTCCTATTTTCTAACCCACCCCTTAAATCAAAGGGATGAGTTATAGTCATCCATCAATTTGGACTGTTGTCGTTTTGATTTTGAGTCATCATCTTCACACTAGACTTACTAATTACTGCATTTTCACTACTGTATATTATCATATGACTTGTATTTATACGAATTATTATATTTAATCCCTTCATTGCCCTTTCTTTCTTTATCTAGGACAGGTGTGTGTGGTTTGTAAGGCACAGATCCCTATTTTTGTGAGACATATTCCTAAAATCAGTTGGTTCCATGCAATCTGTAGTGCAGTTGTACAACATTTTTTTCATGGGAGAGAAGGTTCTTTCTCTTTTTTTGTGTTTTTTTTTTTTTTTTAACTTGTAGGGTCATTTTGCTTTTGCAAACCTCTAAACACAAATGATAGAGACAAATAAATCCAACTAAAAATTTTACAACTATCGTTCACAACACAACTTCTCTGACATATATAGTTGAACTTTCTTCGTACCGTGTGATGTTACTTGTTACCCTTCCCTACCTAAGACAACCTTTTTTTTTTTTTTTTTTAATGTTAAAAAATGTAATCGTGTCGATTTAATAGATTCTACTATTTATAAAGACTAAACAAAACATATCTTTGAAATTATAAAAAAAAAAAAGACTAAAATGAATTTTTTTAAAAGCTGTTATAGTGTTTATGAATTACAAATATATTTTATTACATATACAAGATTATAATTATTTTTTTAATTTGAATGATTAAAAAATTACTCCAAATATTGAAACCAATTTTGTTCATTAATAACTCTAGTCTGTATGTATGTTGTTACCATATGTAGGAAATGAAGTTATAATGTTTGTAAGAGGGGGTGATAAGAGGATTTTTTTTCTTTATCACAATTTTTTCCTAATTTATTGAGGTAAAGAATAATATTGCTTTTGATACAGTGATCATTTATGAGTAAAAATGCATTTTGGGGGTATTGATAATGTGTTTTTTAGAGACTTATGTAATTTGAGAATTTTAAAACAATTTCACTTGGAAGAGTTCGAAGCAAGATAAGGAAAATTGATCTAAAGGTGTAAATTGATGTAGTCTCCAGGACTTATTGCAAAAATTATATGTCATTATATGACTGTTTTGTGTGATTCTAATAATTTGTTTAGAGTTTTGATGAAATTCCCTAATATGTTAATATACAATGATAATACATGTTAAGATATAGGCTAACAAGGAAATCGGCTTTGTAACCGATTACACTGAACGGGGAAAATTTAAGATTATCATCTAGATTAAGTTATGTCTCAAACTATTTGAGAAATTGTGGTTTTTTTTATAGAATAGCATGTAAAATAAATATGTTTTATATATAAAAATAATTTACATCACTATTTATTTTATAGGATATATATATAAAAGAAGAAGAAATTTTACTTGTTTTTTATTTATTCTATTCTTACTACAATTATATAAATATTTATATTGTTGGTGGAAACAAACTTATTAGAAAGTTTTTGTGAATAATAAGAGACATGCAGAAGGTGACTACTATTGGTTCGTGTAACATAAAAGAAGTCCCTTTAAAAGTAACCAAGTTGTCAATAATGTTTGTGTTCTAAGTAGTTTTTGAAAAGAAGGTAGTAATGCTTACAGAAAAGGGATTTGGGATATTTGATGTCTTCATCTTGATAAAAATATTTCCAAAAACCCCTGTCTTGTATTGAATATGATAGCACAATATATACATGAAATACGTAAACATTCTAGGCTATAATTACGCTAACCATTATAGTCGGTATCCTAAATTTGTCTATTAACGAGATATGACATTAATGTGCATCACTGTGCATCGCTGTCATGCCAAGCTAAATATGGAAAAAAATAATCATGTAGAATCATGGCATGATACGGTATTTGTAATCGTATATTCTATGTTTATCACCCTCCCTCAAGATGGAGTATGAAGGTTATGAATGCCCAACTTGCCTAAAAAAGAACCAAATTTAGTGGCGCCAAGAGATTTGGTGAAGAGATCAGCCAGTTGATGATGAGTGGACACATAGGAGGGTTGGATATGATTGTGTTGTATTTCATCACGAATAAGATGACAATCCACTTCAATATGTTTTGTCCGTTCATGAAACACAGGATTCTTGGCAATGTGAAGGGCGGCTTGGTTGTCACGGTAGAGAGTCATAGGGTCGGTGTGAGTAATGCCTAGGCTCGAAAGAAGGCCTTGAAGCCATTTCAACTCACATGTCGTGTTGGCCATAGAACGATATTACGCCTCGGCGGATGATCGAGAAACCGTATGTTGCTTCTTGGTTTTCCAGGAAACGGGGGATTGACCAAGGAAAATAAACCAACCGGTGAGAGATCTTCGAGTGAGAGGACAACTTGCCCGGTCCGAGTCA